ACTGACAGGGCAAATGGTAGAAGAGCATCAGTGAACCCCCCCAGATCATGCATGAGCTTATCAATTCATTTATTTCCAAAGACCACCTGGAATGCAGGGATAAAAGCCTGTGGGTTTGTTCTTCTGCAGTGTTCAACATCCTGTGGCAATGGCATTCAGACCAGGCAGGATTTCTGCCTCAGCTCTCTGACCCACAAGGCTGTGAACCCCCTTTTCTGCCGGCACTTCCCCAAGGCCATCGTGGTGCGTGGCTGCTCTGCAGGGCCCTGTCCTGAGCAGGAGGGGACCCAGTCCCCTGGGGCAGAGCTGCAGCCAGTGACACCAGCCACACACCTGCCAACAGCTGCAGCTGCCCCAGAGCACAGACACAAGGAGCTGGATGTGCCTCAGTCTGCTGGGCCCCGGGAGCAGACAAAGCCCAGTGGAGGTGAGAAGGGCACAGCCAAAAGGAGCTTCTTGTGTGCAGCTGGGCTGTGGGGATCCTGCTGCAAGACAGGACAGGAGCATGGGAGGGAATGCATCTGGCTGGGAGGGAAAACCTGCTGTTCCAGCATGTCCATGTCACCTGAGCTAGGAACAAAAACTCGCTTCCCTGTGCTTCCCAAAACTCTTCTGACCTGGGAGCCTGTGGGACAGCAGCTCAAGGCTCCAGGGAGTGTTTAGACAACACTCTCAGGCACGTAGTGTGATTCCTGGGGTAGTCCTGTGCAGGGCCAGGAGTTGGATTTTGATGATCCTTTTGTGGGTCCCTTCCAATTCAGGATGTTCTGGGATCCTGTGACTCTTCCTGTGCTTTACCCAGAATATGTGACCTTATCTTATAGTGCCACAAAGGGAATTGTTTCCCTGTATTTCCTTCTGGGTGTGTTTCTCACCTGTCTCTGCTGTCCAGGTGTCTGTGGAAACCTGTTTCTCAATGCCACTGGCATCATCAACATGACAGGCGTGGAGAGCAGGGACTGCACGGTGGCCATCGGGCGGCCCCTGAGGGAGGAGATCTCAGTGACCATCCTCGAGAGCTCCCTCAACTGCACTGCAGGTACTGCCTGGAGCTCTGGGGTCCAGCCTGGCCCTTTGGCAAAGCTGCATCTCAAGCTTTTCTGGTGCCTTGAGAAGCTCTGGCTGCCTCAGAGCCTCTGTAATCTCTGAAACCATTTTACTGAGTTTTTCTGTCTCACCAAGTTGTTGCCAGGTGGAACAAAATGAAGATGCTGCTTGTTCTCCCCTCACACAGTGGTTTTCTCCCTGTTTTGTTGGTAGATATGAGATGAAAGGAGCTTATGGGGTTAAAGAAGCTGCTTGGTTTGGTCTGTTATAAAACTAATGTACCCTCTAGCTGGAATCAACAGTTAGATTAGTTAACTGGCCTGTTCTCATGACAGATTTTGATAAGATAGAAACAAGATGCAGAAATTACTTGATTCCAGACCTGTCTAAGAGAGACTTTGGCTTTAACTTAAAAGAAAAGTGTTTCTAGGCCCTGTGCTCTTCTGTTCCAGGTGAGATCCTGCTGTTTTCTGGGCGAATGATGTGGCGGACAGGCTGCAGGAAGCTCACTCTGTCACTGATAAATTCCAGAACCAACACTCTGATTGTGAAACAGCGTGTTGTGCTGCCAGGAAACGGGGTCATTCTGCAGTACAGCAGCAGAACTGCAACCAAAAAATATTACCAAGGTATTGTACTGAAAGCTTTGCTCTTGTTTTCGATTAAGGCCCACAGAGTTCCATGAATGGTGGTTGCCTATGGAAATCTATGGATTGTTAGCAGCTAACAATGCCCTTCTTGAGGAGTGTTGGATTCAGTATTAATTGTGGACTGCCCCTTTGTTTTAAAGCAAACCCCCTCAGGTATTTGCTGATGCTTAAAGGTCCCCAGCTGAAAATCCCTAAAAAACTGTTCTGCCTGTGTTTCATTTAAATGATTTCTTCCTTGGAGGTGCTGGATACTTCTCTAATCCATTTTTTCTTCTCCCTTTGCTCTGTCAGACTGTGACCAGCAGCTGTTTGGCCCCCAGGGTGAAATAGTGAATCCTGTGCAGTTTCCTGAGGGGAGGCAGGGCGTGGTGTGCCGCACTTTCATCACGGTGGCTCCGCGGCAGCGCATCTCCATCCGTGCCCTCAGCACTGACCTGGGCCCTGGGGGCAACCACACTCACTTCAACTACATCCTGGTGAGGAGGCAGGAACCCCAGTGGGATGACTGGGGTGGGAGCAAACCCATCTCCATCAGAGATTTCCACCCAGATGCACAGTTCAGTCACAAACCCGTGCCTGGGATCTCTGTTGTGTTCCCATCTCTGATGGGAATGAGAATTTCTGATATCTGCTGTATTTCTTCTAACCTTTGTAGCACAGCTTTTCCCTGAGTGACCAATCTGCAAGTCTCCAGTATTTTTTAAGCACTTATTTAATGTCTAGCCTGCTGAGGTGAAATGGTTTGGTTTTTCTTCCTGCAGGTCCGAGATGTCAGCACCATGAAGACAGTGGTGTTCCATGGGAAGCAGCAGTTCCTGTGGCAGTCAACAGGAAGCCAAGCTGAGATTGAATTCCATGAGAATGTTAAGGATCACAGAACGCATTTCTGGGCTGAATATCATGCTATTGAGCCTAAATAAAAGCACTGCCCTGAGAAAAGCCCAGTTGGTCACTGCTGCTTGCTCACAGCACACATTTATCTTCTTGCAACTGCTTCCGCATCTGCTGAGTAAAAGCAATGTCTGCTGACTCCTTTGGGATCTCAGTCTTGATAAAGGTCATACAAAACACATGTAACCCCCAAATATTTAGCAAATCTTCCTCATATGGATTTTCTGTCTGATTTGGTTGGCATTAAGGCACTTTACATGTCTGCAGGAGGTGACTTGGGCACTGGAGTGTCAGGGTCCTGCCTCTGTAATGTGATGGGACCTTTTAAGAGAGTCATTTGATTTGTTGGTGTTCCAGTATAAACCTCTGTACACCACAATTAATGTTTTAGCCATTAAATTCACCCTCTTGCAGTGTAAATGCCCCTCAAAACTGAGGCACAGTGAAGTTCTGGAATGGAGTAAAGAGGGCAGAGATGTGTATGAGGATAAACTGCCAGCACAAGGGGATGTGTGGGGTGGGCAGTGCCACCCTAGGACAGGTCACTCAAAGCTTGAATGTTTTCAGAAATTGGCTGAACTGAGGCACTGCTGGGCAAGCCCTGGTGACAGCTGGCTTTATGTGGGAGGACTAAATGACATCCTGAGGTCCCTCCCCAGCCACCCTTTCTGTGGTTCTACTGTTGGATATCTGACAGTGATACCACCACTTCTTTTCTGTGAGAAAATAAAAGTATGAATGCCAGGTTTGATGCCAGGTCTGACTTATTCAGATAAGAACAGCAGCTGTGCTATCAATCTGTATCTTCATTTGACAAGAACTGTGGTTGAGGCTGCATGGACAAGCTGTGGCAGGAAGAGGGATTTTAGAGCAGTGGCAAATACACAAGCTTCGTTTAAATGAATTTTTTAGGTTATTTCTTTTTTTTTAGTATCTTGAACATTGGGCTGTGCTTTGGTCCAAGTCTGTCATCCTCCTCAAAATCACAATATACTGCTTCAAGGGTCTTTTCTGCACCTGGAGCCTGGCTGGACACATCTGCACTTGCTCTTCGTGCTGGATGCAATAAATGGTTCTGCCTGGGCAGTTTTAACCCTGCTCCTGCTTTCTCTCAGTTGGATTCTCTGACATCCTTCTACAACCACAAATACTTTCTTAATTAATAACTGTTTTTTTGCTGGTTAAACCTGGAGTTTTTTGCTTGCCAGCCTCCAGATTTACGTTCCATTCCTGGAGGAGCCAGAAAATAGATTCCTGAAGTGAGATCCTCGAGGAGCTGGATACATCAGCTATCCCTCTGCAGTGCGTGGGTGATGCAGGCCCTGGGCCTTCATTTCCTGTCTGACAGGAGATGGTAATGAAAAGACATCCTTTCCTTAATCCCTTTTTTGTAACCTTTTAGCAGATGGGATCTGTCTTCCCACTCTGCTCTGGATCCCAAGTCTCACTGCTATTTATTGTTCCAGATCGACTGTGCAGAGCTGGGCTCTGCCTGTGTTCCACGTTCATCTGCACAAAATGCAGCTGTTGCCTTCCTCATTTGGGAGAGTTCAGCGTGTTCCCCTGTCCCATTTGGACACCACCAGCTTGCCAGCTGGGGCATCTACTTGCAAAATGCTACTTCTGCTCCCATTTTTAGGGAGAAAACCTGATTCCAGTCAGATAAGGGGAGTGCACCCCTCTTATCTGGAGAGCAGAATTTTGCAACAGCGTTCAGTTCCCGTCAGCATGAGGATTCCTGTTTCCCTTTCTGGAAAAGCAAACACCAAATGTTAAGGATCACTCGGATCACTATGGAACAGTAAATGTTAAGGATCACTGGGATCATTATGGAACAATAAATGTTAAGGATCACTAGGATCACTATGGAACACTAAATGTTAAGGATCACTGAGATCACTAAGGGACACTAAATGTTAAGGATCACTGGGATCACTAAGGATCACTAGAATCACTAAGGAACACTAAATGTTAAGGATTACTAGGATCACTAAGGGACACTAAATGTTAAGGATCACTGGGATCTCTAAGGAACACTAAATGTCAAGGATCAGTAGGATCACTAAGGGACACTAAATGTTAAGAATCACTAGGATCACTAAGGATCACTAGGATCACTAAATGTTAAGGATCACTAGGATCACTAAATGTTAGGGATCACTGGGATCTCTAAGGAACACTAAATGTCAAGGATCAGTAGGATCACTAAGGGACACTAAATGTTAAGAATCACTAGGATCACTAAGGATCACTAGGATCACTAAATGTTAAGGATCACTAGGATCACTAGGATCACTAAATGTTCAGGATCGCTGGGATCACTAAGGAACAGTGAATTTTTAAGGCTTGCCTGGGTAACAACACCCAGTTGTTCCCAGGGCTGTCCAGAGCTGGTGTGAGGTGCGTGGCGGTGCCTGTGCTGATGAATATGAGCAGCAGAGCTCTGCCCACAGCCTTTTAATGTGAGTGACATCAAAGCCAAAGCCCTGCCTGCTGCCGGGGGGGACCCACAATGCAGCTGGAGAGAGCCGTGGAGCAGCTCCAGGCCCGCTGGCATCACCGCCCTGCAGCCAGCCACCCTCCATTGTCAGCCCTGGGGTGCCAGCCCTGCATGGGGACACGGGCACAGGCCCAGGCCTGCCTTTAGGGGCTGTCCCCGGGGCTGGCTGGAGCAGGGGGTGACACCTGGGGGCTCAGGTGGGCAGCAGGGCACTGAGCCCCCGGCAGCGGGGGGAGATGAGCTCGCAGGATGAGCAGCTCCCAGCAGCAGCAGCAGCAGCAGCCCCCGAGGCAGCAGACGCCGATGAGGGCATGACCTGGTGGTACAGGTGGCTCTGCAGGATTGCCGGGGTCATCGGGGGCATGTGTGAGTATCCCCTCCCCTCTCTGAGCCCCCTCCTGCATGACACTGCTCGTCCCGGGGTCCTGCCAGCGCTGTGGGGTCACGCTGGCTGTGCCATGAAGGGTTTTGGGCTGATGGGTCGGTGCCAGCTCTCGGTTTGCTGTGTTTGGGGCAGGAGGGAGAGCTGTGGCTGTGCCTGCAGCAGGGTGGGCTCAGCTGCCCACGAGGGATGTGCTCTGTGCTCACTGAGGCTGCTGAACTTTGGCACCCGGCAGCGGGGACGTCACGGGGCAATCTGCAAATCCCCGAGGTTCTTCTTGCATGTGGCACTCCCTGGCAGTGATGGGAGCAGCAGCTGAGCCCTGGTGCCTGCCAGGCAAATTAGATTATTTTACTATGAGCACCAGGCTCATGGTGGTCAGGTCAGGGCTGGAAGAGTGGCCACAGGGTTTGGTTTATCCTACTTGACTTTTGAGTGTTCATATGTTCCTACAACTTGTTTTTTTCCCCTCCATCCTCACTGTCAGAGCATGTTTCCCATTGCTCCTGTTGCTGATTGCAGAAGGCCTGCCCGTGGTTTTACTGAAGGTGAAGAATGGTTTTGGTTTGTGCTGTGTGCTTTTAAGGGGTTTGGTAGGACACAGAGAGCGGAGCTGCAGACGCAGAGTGAGTTGGCTGAGCTCAGAATTACCTGCTGCTGAAAAAAATTTTCCCAGGGAAAGAGTCTCAGCAACTTTGCCAGAAATCAGCCTGTCCTGGAGTGCTGTTTTGCTACATTCTGTGGAGAGATTAATAGCTCTTAAAAGCAGGAGGGACTGTTATGACCGCTTAGTCTGATCTCCTGCAGAGCACAGGATGGAGAATTTCTCCTGCTTCAGGTCCACAAGTTAAACAAGAAGGTTTCTCAGCCAGTGCAATCAGCCCTGATTTATTCCATCAGCTGGAGCTTTGTGTCTGATCACCCTCTCCCCCTGCCTGCCTTTTGCCTTGGGGCTGGGCTGCACAACCCCAAGATGTTTTTGGAGCTGACATTTGCACCCTGTGGTATCACTGTGCTCCTGAAAGCTCTTTTTGGCTGGGCTGGTAAAACATGTGCTGCTCTCACCGTTCCATGTGCTAGGTGCTGAAATCCTGGAGGTGTGACAGGATTTGGTGGGACTGCTCTGAACACCCCGTGCCCTGCCGGAGGCCCCCGCGCTCCTGGCCCGGCCAGCAGCCAGGAGAACCAGCTGGGAAGTGTCTGTGGAGCAGGTCCCAGGTGGGGGTTCAGAGGAGCAGTTTCTTTCCCACGGGCTGTGGCTGTAGCAGGAGCCTCAGCACTTTTCCTGCAGTTTTATCCCGTGCAGAGCTCGGGGTGATGTGGATGGAGGGTGAAGAGCTGGTGGGTCATGCTGGTGGCACTGCCAGCCTCATGCTACAGCAGCTTGTGAGTGGCTTGAAAGTGCAAATTTCTTCTTTTTCCCTCTCTGTCTTTGTGTTTCAAAGCAGCTGAATTATACTTGGATTATTTTCCCAACCTTTTGTTCACGGCTCTGCGACCTCGTGGCTTGTTTTTACAGGAAAGATGAGAGCTTTATGTCTTTGGGTGAGTCTGGGAGAAGCTTTTGGAAGAAGAGTCAGGTTCTTAACAGGGTTTGCCAAAGATTTGGGGAGTGACAGCTGGCTCTGGAGCCCTGACTGTCTCTTTATCAGGCAGAGAATGAGGCACAAACTCTCTTTATGAACAGGGAAAAGGGGGATTGTGGAAAAAACAACCACCCATACTACCAACATTCCTCTTCAAAATGCTGCTTGTTCAGCATCACCTTGTTGAAGGTGGATGGTTTGGAGAAGAGGTGATGAATAAACCAGCAAGGCTGGAGTTTGCTATTCTTCTCAGAGCTTGCTGTGAAAGAACAGAACTAATTTATAAGGATTGTGAGCAACTGGATTGTAATGCTGCTACAGGGCTGGATTATTTCTTACAGAAGGAAAAATTCCCTCAGAAAGGAAGAGAAACTTCGTTAGTGGAGGTGAGACCAGCAGACAACATCTGCCACATGCAAACACCTGCAGCCACAGCTTGCTTCAGCCAGAAAAATCCAAGGGCTGGAGCAAGAACCAGACAGACAAGGCTCAGGATCCCTTTCTGGCTCCTGCACATGCTGGCTTGGTGACCTTGGCCAAGTCCCTTCTCTCCTTGTGTTCCTGTTTGTAATGGGACGAGGAGAGTCTGTGGCTTTTGTAAAACACTCTAGGAGCAAAAATAGGCTTGTGTTGAGGACAGTGACCAGCTGCTGGAAATGAATAGAGCCTTTGTAGGGAAGGGTGTCCTTCCCCCCTCATTTTAGCTCCCAGTTATTTGTGCTTCCTCAGGGACTCGAGATGGGACAGCAGTTAAACAAATGGCAGAACTGTCTGTCTCCCATGGCTTACGTGCCACGGAGCATTATCTGCATTTTAACCCTGTTGTGAGGCCTCTGCTCGAAAAGAAAATATTTTAAAAAGAAATCTTTGCCTTGGCAGGGGTGGGATCAGCTCCTGCCCCGGTGGGACAAGGATGTACCAGGCTGTGAGGGACAAGCAGCTCTGCAAAGGAGACCCAAGGTCACTGAGTTGTTCTGTGGCTGTTGGCAGCAGCTCTGGGGGCAGTGCTCCTGTGATCCCAGACCTTTGACTCCTTTCCTGCTGCTCCTGCTGACGTGGGGCTCTCTCAGCTCTGCTTCCTGGGTCATTAGTCCTCTGGCAACCAGGCTGGTTGCTGAGCCAGGACTGCTGCAGGGCTGTTTTGGAATGTTTGGGGACAAAACCACACCAGAAACCTGGCAAAACAACCCCTGGTTGGTTTGATTAGGGAAAAAAAAAAACAACAAAAAAAAAAACCAAAAAAAAACTTGCTTGGAAAAGAACATCCTGCTTCCCTTGGTTTGTTGTGTGGTGGAGACTTGCTGGGAGCTGCCTGGACCACTCTGCTGTCCTGTGCTGCTTAGCAAGGCAGGGTCCTGCCCCAGCCCTGGCTGTGTTTTGGGGATAGCTGAGAGGTTTTGCTGCTCTGCTAATTATAAAGTGCCAAAAAGTCACTCAGAATTATTGTCAGGAATGTCCTTTCCTGGGGGACAACGAGTGCCACGAGCCTGGGGTGCATCCCCCGAGCTCCTCTTCCATCAGCACCCAAGGGTTTGGTGGTCACAGGGAATTAGAACCCCCTGGTTGTGCCCTGCTCCCCATGCTGCCCACAGCTCCCAGAAATCCTGCTGGCCATTGGTTGCACCTGTGACCATGAACAGATCACCCCACCCCCGTGCCTCAGTGTCCCCTGCAGTGTGGGGACAGTGACACTGGAACCTGTGGGGTGGGAGGGTGAGAAGTGCCCTTGGAGCACGGATATTAGCACAGCCTCTGGAATATCCCCTCTGCCAGCTGATCTTGTTCTTGCAGGACTCTCCAAAAGATTTTGGGTCCTGTGGACCTAGTTCTAGAAAGTGTTAAAAAATAACATTTTTGGAATTTCCTAAGACCAGGAGGTCACTTGCTCATGGGATGACCTTCAGACTCTCCTGCCATTGCCTGCAATTCTGCTTCCCAGCCTGGTAAACAAGGATAACTATTTTTAAAGGAACTTTGAGGATTCAGCAGTGACTGCTTAAAAGAAACCTTGCAAGCATGTGCCAGGCTTTTGAAGGTCAGGGCTGCTCACAGCGTCTCTGCTCAGGGATCCCCTCAGCGGACACCCAAAATCCTCAATCCAGGGCTGGTCTCATCCTCAGAGAGAGAGGCTCTGCTGCTCTCCATCACCCCCAAGACAGCCTTTAAAGTGTACAGGATCCATGTGAGGTGGAGTTTTGCAGTGTGATGATGTTTGCTGGGTGTGTGTCTCCTGCCCTCCCAGCTGGGCTCGAGTTCCTGGTGCCAGCCCTGGCCCTGGCAGAGGGAAGGGGCCGGATCAGGTGCCAGGAACACTCTGCAAGTTTAATGAGGCAGCAGAGAGGTGGATGCAGCTCAGCTCAGTCACTGCTTCCTGGTTCCTCTCCCTGAGTTACAGAGCCAGGAGCACTGGGGCTATTTTGGGCTTTATTCACCTCCTTTTGTGTTAGTGGAGACCCAAACTTGGCTCTTTTCTGCCCATCTCTGGTGAAGCTGTACAGAACCAGCAGTGAGTGGCAGGTGCTGGGTTCACCTCTGCTGTATTTATTATTTTCCTGTGTGAAAGTCATATTTCTGCTGAACTTGCCCTGTGCTGCTCAGAGGTGGAACCTGCTGGCACTGCTTTTCTACCTTGGCACATAAAATCCAGGTGCACATCCTGAACTCCATGTGGAAGCAAATATTGTTCTACACAAGGGAAATAATTGTTGGAGCAGCACCCATTGCAAAAGGATACCAGACGAGGGCTCTTCCCTGCATTCCAGACTCCTTTTGGGCCACCAGACTTTTCCCTCCACCATCCTGTGCTGGCCAAGGGCACGCAGGGTTGGTCATGGTGGTCACTGAAAGTGTCTCTCTTTCCAGCCTGTGCCTTTTCTGGTCTCTGGAACTGTGTCACCATCAACCCCCTGAACATTGCAGCCGGCGTGTGGATGATGTGAGCAGGTTTATTTTCCTTTTCTTGCTGGGAGGGAGACATTTGTTAACCAGACACACTGAGGGGGGCAAGGTTGCCCTGCTTGGGCAGTGGATGGGAGTAAAACATCCATCAGGCTCTGGGAATTGCCAGACTTTGCTCCATCAGGCAGGTTGGGATGTTAGGTTTATTCTATTTATATTATTTCTTTATGCATTTTTAGCTAAATGCTGAGATACCCTTGTCCAAAATAATTCTGGGGCTGCAGGGCTTGGAAATTTGGAAATTATCAAGAACTGGGGGGAGCAGAGCAGGGCCCAGCCTCACCATTCCCTCCACCTGCACGGAGCATGGTGTATCTGCTCTCTGTGGGCCTGGGTGGCATTGCTGACCCCCACCTGGTGACTAAAAGCAGCATTAACTCTGCTTTTCTCTCTCTGGAGGCTGAACGCCTTCGTGCTGTTCCTGTGCGAGGCCCCTTTCTGCTGCCAGTTCATCGAGTTCGCCAACGCCGTGGCCGCCAGGGCCGACCGGCTGCGGGCCTGGCAGAAAGCAGCTTTCTACTGCGGGTGAGGATGCTCCTGGGGGCTCATGGTGGGCACATCCCGGGGAAAGAGCACCCCTGCACCCCGCGGGGAGCGGGGCCCTGCTCTGAGGGCCGGCCCTGTCTTCCAGGATGGCCGTGTTCCCCGTCATGCTGAGCCTGACGCTGACCACGCTGCTGGGCAACGCCATCGCCTTCGCCACCGGCGTGCTCTACGGCCTGTCGGCCCTCGGAAAGAAGTAAGGGAGATCCAGCTGCTCGTGGAGGGCAGGGAAGGGGGAGAAGGAGCTCCAGACCTTGCTCCATCTGCCCTCCTTAGGCTGTGCTTTCCTCGTGCACAACCCGTGCTGAGGTGTGGACGCGGCCAGAGAAATCTCCCTCACGTCAGAGCCCTGCAAGGGAAGGTCCTGGGGCTGCTGAAGCTCTGAGATTTGGGAGTTCTGAGGGTCCCACTCTTCTGTCTGCAGCTGTTGGGTGGATGGGTCTAGCCCTGGGGCAGAGAGCAGCTTTGGGGGTCGGGAAGGGCCAGCAAGCATCGTTTGAACTTGGAATCCCTTGGCATGGAGAGCCAGGCCCCAGCTGGGACAGTCCCTGCCATCCCCACACTGTCCCTTCTCTCCACAGGGAGATGCTGAGTTGGGGAGTTTGGCAGTTCTGAGGGTCCCACTCTTCTGTCCACAGCTGTTGGGTGGATGGGCTCAGCCCTGGGGCAGAGAGCAGCTTTGGGGACTGGGGAGGGCCAGCAAGCGTGGTTTGACCCCTGGAATCCCTTGGCATGGAGAGCCAGGCCCCAGCTGGGACAGTCCCTGCCATCCCCACTGTTGTGGTGCACCAGTAGGAAACACGTTTCTTGACCCCACGCTGTCCCTTCTCTCCACAGGGGAGATGCCATCTCCTACGCCCGGATCCACCAGCAGCAGAGGCAGATGGATGAAGAGAAGCTCGCGGGGAGCCTGGAGGGACAGGCTCTCTGAAGGACACGAGCTCAGGGTAGCATCTCCTGGACACTGAGATGGTGAAGATGTGGAAATCCACTCTGCCCTTCCCTCTGTCCTCTCCACTCCCTGCTACACCACGATTTCCCTGGACACTGCAGCAACTGGAAATCTCAGGGGCTGGGGCAGGCTGTGTCCTCTCCTCACTCCAGCAGCCAGACCTCAGCATGTTGCTCCTTCTCTCCTCAAACCTCAACCTAAACTGTGCCCCTATTTTTTAATCTTTTATTTTCTTTTTGCTTGTGAAAAGAATTTTTTTTCCAATATTTTCTGGCCAGTAGAGGTGCTGGCTCTCTGAGTGCTGCTTTCCCAGCCTTTTTCTTTTTTTTAATGGACTGCCCTCTGGATGGGTGAGGAGGGACAGAGGACCTGCCAGTGCAGGTTCCACATGTTTAGGAACACTCCCTGGGATGGCCCTTCCCAGGTACAACACCTAAAACCCCCTGGTGCTTAACCTTGGTCTTCTTCCACTGTTTTAATTACGGGACCAAGCACTGGAGGCATTGCTGCATGGGAAAGGATTTCCAGCAAAAATTAATCTAAAGGTAAAATCCATCTCTGCAGGGGAGCTGCCAGAGCTGCTGAGCAGATCCTGGGACCTCCAAAGCACAGCTACAGGCAGTGACTGCTACTTACCTGAATTATGATAATTAATTACTTTGTCTTAATAAGGGCACTTTTCTTAAGCTTCACTCTTTTACTGGGGCAGAAGGGAAACAATATCTGCTGTACCACAGCTGCCAGAGCTGCTGAGCAGATCCTGGGACCTCCAAAGCACAGTCCCTGCTTCCTCTGGACACAGCTACAGGCAGTGACTGCTACTTACTTGAATTATGAGAATTAATTACTTTGTCTTAATAAGGGCATTTTTCTTAAGCTTCACTCATTTAGTGGGGCAGAAGGGAAACAATATTTGCTGTACCACTGCTGAAAAGGATGCTGTTTCTTGAGCCAAGTGGGATTTTTTGCTGGTGTGATGTGCAGGAGCATTCCTGCCTCGTGAGCCGGGGACTCTGCTCCTGCATCCCTCCATGAAGGGACGTGCTCTGCTCACCTGGTCTTTGGGATTGTGGTTTTCTGCATCAATCCTGAGCTGGTTTTGTATGGGAAGGTGGTACAACTTCCCTGTGCAAGCAGAGAGGAGGCTGCACCATTTCAGTGTGGACAGCTGGGATGTTTTACTTTGCTATTCCAGGCTCTTTCTGTGGTTTTCATATTGTATTTTCTGTTTGCTTTGTACCATGCAGTACAAAACTGCTCACTGAGCCCAGATCCCCCTCTTCTCATCCCAGTTTGTCCTGGGGATTTTAATTTATTTGATTTTTATATAGTTGCTTTTTGTTTTGATTAGGAAAAAGGGGAATAATTTATTTCTAGTTATTTAAGTACTTTAATGGGACTCATTTTCTCTGGATATCGGAGAAAGGAGTGATCTGTTTCCTGTCCTTCACAGGGCTGCCTCATTTCACCAGGGGTCTCTGAACCCCGGCTGCTGCAAAATCCAATTTCAGCCTTCAGAGTGTTTCTCAGACTCTTCCAACAAAAGTGTGTTGTCCTTTGACCCCTTTGTCTTCTTCTGGGCCACAAGCTTGACAAACTGTGTTTTCCTCCTCTTCTGGGAGAGAGGAAGGAGGAAAACTGGGCTGTAAATGCTGGACTGGGACAGCCACCAGCACTGTGTGTCCCTGTTTGTGTCCTTGGGTACAGAGGGGTTGTGCTGTGCTCTGAGAAAACCTGCTGGAGGCTGAGAGCTGTCTGTCTGTCAGAGGGGTCTGTCCATGCTGAAAACTCTCCTTAAACCCTGCCCTTCCTCAAGCTGCTGGCTCCTGTGAGCTGCTGCTTCTTCCCAGGAGCTGGGAGGATTCCCACCAGCCAGGATTTCCTGGATGTAGTTTTTTTTTTTTCCTGCATCCTTTTTGTGCAAAGCCCCTTTCCCCCCACCTTTGAACTGGGATCCCGTGTCTGGGATGCAGAGCAGGCACCACCAGCCTGGGTTTTTTCCCACAAAAGCAGCTTTTTTCCCTCAAAACTGTGCTGGTTTGGAGCCCCCAGCCCTTGGCTGATCCCTGGTGCTGAATGCAATGCCTGCAGGGGGGGAATGCAGGAGGAATGGGGGGTTCTCCAGAGGGAATAACCTCTGGGTGCTGCACGGGCAGAGTCCTGCCTCAGGAATGGGCACGTGCTTTGATTTCAGGGGGGGTGGGGAGTTCTGTAGTGTTTAGTAGAGGAATGTTGCAGACTCATGCATGTCAGTGGTAGGGACAGCTTTGCTCTGTGAGTAGTGCTGCAGTAGCTTTAGTGTCAGGAGGCCAAAGGCAAAGCAGAGCTCAAGGGCTGAGACTTCCAGGGTGCTCTGAGGAAGCACAGAGCTGGTGGGACCCTCATCTGCCACTCCCTGCCATGGTCCCTGGGGCTGGGGCAGGTGGGTGCTGCTCCAGGGCACCTGCAGGGCACTCTCTGCTCCTTGGCACCCAGGCAGAAGTCCCAGCAGTGCTGTCACGGTGTTTTGTGGCAGCAGGGTCTGACCCTGGGGCTGAGGCAAGGAGGAAATCTGCACCAATCTGCCACCATGAGCGGGTGGCAAAGCTCAGCGAGCTGAAAATGGGCCTCAGGGACTGCCCTGACAGAGCTGAGCTGGAGCCTTTGGCCACAGGGAAGTGTCTGTCACCACTGGAGGTGTCCCCAAGGGTGGTGACTCCTACAGGGGCCTGTCTGGAGCAGGAACCCTCGGGAATTTTGGCTGTCTGGTGCAGCTGGAACCAAGGCAGACGCTGCCAGCATGGCAGACAGGCTTGGTGACAGCACCCATGGCTTGTAAGAGCTGTAGTGACAGTGAGAGGATGGTCTCACCCCCATGTGGGCCTGTTTGATGGAGATAGGAAGGAGCTTTAGAGTAGAGTAGAGTCACAGTAGTTAGTGCCAGTGCATGGTGGTTGTTAGTTGTGTTTAGAGGCACCCTCGGGGTGCTTGGAGCTGTGCAAGGACAAATGAAGCTCAAACCCTGCTCTGGAGGTTTCACAGGCTGCACCCAACCCCTGCTGAGGGCACGCAGGAGGGATGGATCCAGAGGGGCTCTGTGCAGCAGGGTCTGCTCTCCAGGCCTTGGGAAGGAGGTGATGTCAGGGCTCAGGGGGTGACACGCTGAGGACAGCGAGCTGTTGGCACCGAGAGTGGCAGGAGCCCTGGGGAGCAGTGGCCTGTCACACACCAGTCACCAGGGCAGTTCTATGCACTGTGCCACTCTTCCATGCCTCTGCCACTCGTGTGTGGTGGCTCTGTGTCCCCTGGGGCTGCCCACGGGGTGTGGAGAGCAGGGCAGAGCTCGCTGCTCTGGGCAGGAGCTGCTCATGTAACCCCCATCGGTTCTCTGTGTGTGCAGTGAATAAAAGCACCATTCTACCTCTGGAAAGAGCCACTGTGATTTCTCACACTCCAAACGTTGTAGCAAAAGCCCTGGGATTCACTGTGCTGGAGGAAGGAGGTCACTCAGAAAATGCTCCTCCAGTGAGGTTCTCTCAGGAGCTGGAGCCCAACCTCGTTTCCTAGTGGGGCATTTCCTCCTTAGGCTGAGCCCTGGGAAGCTCAATTCATCTCTGTCATTTTTTTCCTCAGGAAAAAAACATCCACTGTCTTCAGGGAAGGGTTTCACTGAAGTGAAGATATCAAGAGCTGGTCCATAGCCATGTGAGAAAGAGAATGCTCGAGCACAGGGCTGCCAGAAATCCCGGTCTTCAGAAAGTCAGTGGAAACCAGAGGCTCTTGAGACCTCTTGTAGTCAGGTCATGCTTAGAAAAAGTTGTGTTCCAGCCAGGGCTGAACATCTTTCTGGAAAAGGGTCTCAGCAGCAAAGGGTAGGTTTAATAGTGAATGTTTTCTGTGTTTTTTATTTTGGCCCACCTCTCTCCCTCTGTCCTAGGCTGTTTTAAATTAATGCTGTGATAAAGCACATCTTCTCTTAGGTGATTTCTCATCTCCTGCTGCAGGAGATCAGAATGGCAGCTGGCACATCTGGAGGGCTGGCTCAAACATGCTGTTTTACCCTCTGCTTCCTCAGGACAGCAGGAATGTCCCAGGAACAGTCCTCAGGGTGCCAAGTGCATTTCAGGAGCTTGGACAAATGCTTGGGCACATCATGTCCCAGCTCAGCCTTTGTGCTTCTGCCCTTTTGGGAGGAGTCAGGGTGGACTGAGCAAGGCCATTTGTTCCTCACAGCCATAACCACCTCCTGCAGCTGTTTTACCTCGGGTTAGTAGTTATAAAAGGTTCTTAATCTTGCAGGACACACACAGGAAAGGGGTAAGACTGATTTGCTACTAACTATGCAGTTGAAATCTCAAAGTGGTGGAGGTGGAGGCACATCCACCTCCCTCTTTGTGGCTGGGTCAAACCCCAGGGTGGGAAGGACCCACCCCAGCACAAAGTGTTGTCAGTACTCACTGTGTCTTTCCCACAGGGAATCACTTGCACTACAGCTGGATGTTTGTCTGTTCCCATTCTTTTGTCCTGGGTTTTCTTTGTGAGCTGTATTTGGTCTTACTCTAGGCTTCTAGTGTAATGTGTGTTTTTAGAGCAATAAAACGTGGCAGCTTTTGATACAAAAGATCTGGCTCTGCCTCTTTCATGGTCCTTGAGTGCCTGAGACTCCTCTGGGGAGCTGCAGGCTGCTGTGGTCCCCTTGCCACAGTCCTGCTCTGCCTCTCCCATCCCTCCCTTCCCTGCAAATCAAGGCAATGTCTTGCAGTTGGAGGCAAAACTGTTTTATTCTTGCAGCTACATGGTGAGCTTTGGCCAGAACAGCTCCAGCAGCAAACTCAGCTCCAGACAAGCCCCCAGACCCTCAGGCTGCGGAGCAAAGGGCACCACAGTCTCCTGTCCACACTTATTCTTCCAGGACACCTTTATCTCCAGCCTGGCCCTGCTGGTGTCCTGCTCCCACCCCAAGGGGTGACAGGTAGTGTTGGGTGACAGGAGGAGAAGGTAAAATTCCAGCTGGCAACTTCTACAGCCAGAGCAAGATGATCACTGCTGCCCCTTCCTCTCCCACAGGGAGCTCCAGCCTCCACTTCCAGCAGCACAAGTTTGCTTTGCCCTCAGCCTGGGCAAGGGCAGTTCCTACCTCAGGAAGGACCTCCGTCCAGTCCTGAAAAAGGCCTCAATCTGCTCCAGGGACCTGCCTTTGGTTTCAGGGACACAGCAGCCTGTGAATAAGATGTTCCCAGCACTGATGACAGCGAAGAACAGGAAGGGCACCTCGAGGCCGAAGGCGTTCTGGAAAGTGGGGCAGAAAGCAGCTGTGAGCTGGTGCAGAGAGGGGCTGGGGAGGGGCTGCTGGACACCCCAGGCAGTACCCACCACGACTGGGAGGAAGAACTGGGTCAGGGTGAAGGCTGTCAGCCAGCTCACGACCACACAGAGGCCCGAGGCCACCCCACGGGCTTTGAGAGGGAGGATCTCTGACATCAGCAGCCAAGTGATGGGGCCCCAGCCCATGGCGTAACCTGCAGGGGAGGAGGGAAGGGGATCAGCCTTTGA